AAGATAGGTGGTAACAAATTTGTCTTTTTTGGTTTAGTGGAGTTGGATTTTGAGTTTTTTTTTTTTACTTTGGTAGGTGTTTGACTGGCATAGTAGGTGTTCAGCCGATCCCGTATCTGAGAAGACATGAAGTTCCACCGTCTTGGTGAGGATAGGCGTGATCATAAAGCCAGCAGCCAGGCAACTAGCAGGTGATCTTGAGAAATTATATTGTTTGCAACATCCGTATCGTTGGAGAAGCGTGGAGGCACACAAGAACCATCCAAGAAGTGCATAAGATTGAGGCCCGGTGGCAAGAACTTGTTGCCAAATCAAGTAGTTGTTTGTCCTCGTCCAATTTGAGATTGATAGGGGGGTATTGAAGGTGTGGGGAATAAAGGAAGAACGGTCAATTGTAAGAAGAGGAGTGCTAGTAGTGGAGGAGGAGGAAGAAGTCATTGTGACAAAAAAAAGGCTCTAGATACCTGAAAGATGAAAAGAAAGAAAGGAGGTGAAAGAATAAGGTTTTGCATTATCAGAAATTGATTAAAAACTACATCCGAACCCTGCACCAAAGACGTCTATATATTCTGATTTTTAAGATAATCCATGCATGTGTCCATGCATATACAAAGTTACGTAATAAGGTTTTTTAGTAAAAGCATATTCAAATATATATTATTTGAATATGCTTTTATTTGTATGGTATTAACTAGGGCTGAAACAAATTGAGTTAAGCTAAGCATTTGAAGCTCAAGTTTCGCTATAGAAAAAACAAGCTACTTGAGTTTGGTTGATTTCTAATTTAGTGTTCATATTTGTGATTGAAAAGGAAAAGAAATTGAAATAGAATTTTTTCTTTTCTTTTCATAATTCATTTTGGGGTAACTTTAATGATTTTATATAGTTTTTATTTGCATATTAAGTATGATAATTTCTGGATACATAATGCCCCTTTCCTCACAAGTCAAACTAAAATTACTTGGTCAACATATTAATTCTATGTACACATTCATGCATGCTGATAAAAAAAAAATGTACACACTCATGCACGTGTAGAAGGGCTATTCGTGAGCTTTTGACATCGAGCTTTGGATTAGAAATCTTAGCTTCAGGTACAAACTTACAAATGAACTTGGTCTAGCTTGAAAAAGCTCAAATAATTCGAACTTAATTCATTTAGATACCTGTTGGATTAACAATAGGAACTGACCCTGTCCATTTTTTTACACCTTACTTTAATTTGGGTAGCTGCATGTGGCTAATGGAGAACATGAGTGAATTCTTGAAATTAATTGCTGGTAGTTCTGTGGTGGTTTGAACATGTTCAAAGTAAATAAGAACTTGGTGATATATCTTAACTATGTTTGAAATTCTTAATTCTTCTCACACGCGTGGGCAGCTTTCAGAAGTTAACTACAGGTGAACATAATCTCATGTAATGATGAATTAACATAATTCTGTGTATTTTACCATTTTCCTTATTAGTTTTTGTAATTATATTTATCCCCTTATTGTCTATTAATATCACAATTTTTATTGTTTTTTGTTTCCAGTTGGACCAAGTGGCATTCCATGCCAGTTGATGGTTGGGTTCTTTGCATATGCAAAATCACTTGAAATAACTGTGGACAAGAAAGAGTTAGAAGGTGCATTGACCTCGCTTATATATACTAGAACTTAGCACTGATACTGTTTTCTTTTTTTCTTATTTCCCATTTATTTATATGCATGACTTGAAATGGTGAGTTAGTCTGTAAAACCTTATTTGTGAGACAGATTTAGGTACAACGTTTGTATGTTTGTGGAGTGGCTGATTTCTCAGTTTTACACGTGTCACTTTTGTATGAAACTTCAACTGCACCATATCCGTATATATGGTGTATGCAATGCAAGTATTTTCCTTGAGTTATGAACTTATGCACAGATAATTTCAGTTTATCTCAATTTCTTTTGTTTGGTTTATTTAATTGGCAACAACTGATTCCGCAACTTGCTTTTCTAGATGCTCAGTGGTACAGTAGAGAAGAAGTAAGAAATGCATTGACGTCTGCTAAATACAAGGAAACCCAAAGAACTGCAGCAGAAAAGGTCGAGCAAATATGTAAGGGACTAGAAGAGAACAGAAGCTTCGCTTCGGATTTCAACGTGGAAAGTGCTGGTGAAAATGCTCCAATAGTTTTCCCTGGACCCTTTGCAATAGCCCATCACCTTATTTCTTCTTGGGCATTCTCGGATAAAAATGTCGTGCATCACTCAAAATAACCCATCAGTTCTTTGATAAATTCAGAAACTCTTTTTCAAGGAGCCTCTGGAAATAAAATTTGCTATTATTGTTAAATATCTTTTTATCCCCAATAATATAGAGGGGTTCTGCTGCTGGTGATGATATTTTATCGTCAAACTGTTTTTAGATTCTGCAGTCTTGGAATTGAAGAGCTCGACTTTTGATTTTGCATTATTCGTTCACGTACTACTCATATGGTCTATTACCAACGATCTTATTGATATTATACAAGACCATTTACTTGTTATGGTTTCATGATGTTTCTTTGATTACCTTGCAGTTGATCTTAAATTTTGTTTTACCAGAGTTTTGGAGGTTTGCATTTAGTAATGCCCTTATGTTGTGCGTAACCTACTAGGCTTATTGTACGCCATGTGATTGCTTTGCATGGTCGATAGGAATCCCTTATGCAATGACAAAGTCGAATCTTTTTTGGATGTTCCGTCTTGGAGAGGTCGTTGAACTCCAAAATTCAACAACACTTGTGTTGCGGAAGGTGGAGATTAAAACATTGCATTCCAACACTTTCTAGCTTTCTCAAGATTGGAAACGACAAATATCAGAATGTGATACTCTGCTATATCTAAGAAACATAAAATAGGCATCATCGTGATTGGCAAATGGCGAACACGGAGTGATTTCACGACATATCATAACTTAAGTGGCTGCTACGGAGATACCAAGAGAATTTTATTGCATACAAAGGCACGCCAAAATCTGCAATATGAAGTGCAGATGAGCTACAACTATCAAGTTATCAAATTCTATTCTAACGACAGTTCCTCGTTTTATTCCTCTGTCTATCAAAGAAAGATGCAGTGGCAAAGGAGAAATTCTATCTACATGAAGCCATGTTTCTTTTTCTTTTCACATAGATGAGCCAATCACTATGGCAAGCTTTCGGAAGAAGGGATACTATAATTTCTTGTGCACCTTTGCCGTTGTTTCTGCCCAATGTATAATTGACCTTGCCAAAGCATCCATGGGGTCTATACATTTCCTGAGAAGAGGATCATTGTGAGGGAGAACCCCCAGCAAATCATCAGATGCCAGAAGCACCAGGTTTACTGCCCTAACCAAAAGAACATGGATTGCAATTCTCAATAAATTCCTTGCCCCTTCGATGTCCTTTCTGTACAATGCTTCCATTGCAGGAACCAATACATGCTCCTCGGTATCCTTATCTAGCAACACTACTTCAAATCCCTGCAGATAAATTTTACCATCATTTACACAATAAAATTCAATCTGGTACGCCAACAAAAGTACCGAAAGCAACCGATAGTATTGAACTTGCGAAGTGTTTGGATTGTTTGTTACTTTCTGTTATTAACACGAGTCATTATGAATACCTGACTTTGAAGCTTGTCCTGGTAATAACTAGCTACAAAAGCGGAATCCGTAGTCAGCAGTCCAATCCTCACAGTATAAGCAGCATGGATTGGTTTCAACTTGGCGTTCTTGAGTTCCATGGCCACACAATCACCAACATGAAGAAAAGGTAGGGAACTATCCTCAGAAATTTCACTGTGCCACGCATGTGAGAGATGGCAAGGCATGGCCAATCCCTGAGCTCCAGACTGCTGAAGAAAATTCCTTTTGCATCTCAAATTCTCAATCACAAGGTCCTGATTCAATTTGATACGATCGATTCTGCTTCTTGCAGAAGGGAGAGGACCACGAAACGAAAGCACTTTGCTTAGCACAGAATCACTGGAAACAACGAAAGGTGGGCATTCCCTACCATTTCTTGAACCCCAACAAGCAAGCTTCTCCAAGAAAATCAGAGTTGATAGAACTGACACTCCTCCTATAACACCAACAGTGTTCGGTTGGCTTAGCAGAGAACCAGAGCTTTCACATCTCATAAGAGAACTACCTGGCTCTGCATATTTTCCATTCTCTTCAGAAGATAACTGTAAACCTGTGCTTAAATTTGATTTCGCTCTGCACCGAGTCTGAGTCCTCTTTCTAAAGGCATCACCAGTAAGAAATGGAGGGTGATTTAGTGTCTGCAGAGACATCAATATGCCCCTCTCTAGCATCTCTAGCATCCCAGTTTCTATGAAAATATTTTCTCCTCTAAATGGCAAGCGTCTATTTACCATCACCAGTGAAAAGTCGACAAGTGCTCAAGAAAGTTGTCACAGTCACGTCACTAAATACCAGGACCCTGTTGCTTGGGTTTTCATGGTTTCGGTGTTTGGCCTTTGGCAAACCTATAGCAGATTTTAAAGCCGAATCAGCAAGAGCACAAGCTGACATCACTTTCTATACCAGATTCTCCAGAACAAAACAGAATCTAGGACAAAAGGACAATATTCAAATAACCAAAATGGATCTTATATATAAGGTGTTATTTTTATATACTCTAGTAACCAATAATTGATGACATGTAAAATGCAAAAGGGTAGGTAACTTAGTAAAAAGTAACAACTAGCTTCCAAAAAAGTAACAAGTAAAAACACCACCCTCCAACATTGCCTTGTTTAGGTCTGTAGTACGAAATTTAAGGTACTACTCCGAGAGTGTTTTGGATGAACCAACACAGTTATCATTTGTGTGAGACTAAATCCTTTAGGATGTGATTGGTATGGTTGAGAAAGATGGAGAGCAAAATAATTGATTTGTGTGTTTGGTAAAGGGGAGAAAGAATAAATAATCTGTGGGACTAAGTATATTACTCTCACATGTTTTATATTTTTTTTTTATTAAATCAATCAAATTACATCATGTTTAAAATATTCTCTCTTTATGATCGTGTGATAATACATTTAATTTTATTCTCTTAATTTTGTTATTTTCCTTCTATTGTTATTTTCTAAAAAAATCCAAATTAACATTAGATTTTTTATATTTATTATTAGTATTGGCTTTTTCCAAGTTTCCGGGCTAGTACATTGTAGACCGTTGAGGAGATGAATGAATGCGATAGATGATGGATCCAATAAAACTACTCTAAGTTGTAATCTTTGAATCGACGACATGTGATCCGTCATGTCACAACTTATTTGTTTCACTGAATTATTAGATATTATTTGTTTCTTTGTACAATAGCACGGAAGACCATAAATACTTGACGCACGTCTTTAGTGTTGTTCGATTATAATTAGGCACATCAAATCCATTTGCCATTCCTCCTCCGTTTGTTCCATATGCTCCAGCCAATGAAACACATTATAGTTCTTTTCAAATTTAAAAAGGAAAAAGTTCATTTGTCTCATGCTCAATGATTGTCCCCACTCCCCTAATTATTAGTTTGCAATTTTGTTCAATAAATGTCTCTCTCTGCCTGCATATTATATTTATATATATAAGGAAATAATAACATGTTAAATTAAAATTTTGATGGATGGAAAATTATTTAATTAGTTAAGAGACTATTAGATCATGGTGTAATAAAGAGGTAAATGAGGGTAGAAAATAAAATTGTTTGAATGGATGAAGAGTGAGTTTAAATTTTGTAATAAATTTTTATTTATGTGATCAAATAAATGTGATTATATATGATATATTTAGAAAAGAATAGAAAAACTATAAAGTGAAAAACTTCACTTCATGATATTTTTTCTTTTTCCTTCACAGGTCATTTCCTTCTTTCATTTTTCTGATCACACTGTGTTGAAAATTTGATCACAATTTTTTTTTAGATTTTGAGTTGTTTTAATTGAAATAGTTGAAAAAAGTAATCATTCAATCTTAATTTACTTTATATTGAATTTTTGTTTTGTTTGAATGTTTAGTGTTAGGTTTTTAATTTATAATAGCTCTCAATTTGAAATTTTGGTTTGAAAAAAACTCACGAAATACATTAAAATAATAATGAGACATGAATTCAACTCGTAAAAAATTGAGAACACCTTTTACCGAAGATATTAAGATAATAATTTTATGTGTCTTCTTTCTTGTATGATTTAGATTTAATTTGATTTTTAACAAATTAATGTCTTAATTTATATTTATATAATTATGACATCTTTCTTAAATTTTGACATTGAAAAAAGAAAATGTATTTCCTTTTAAAATTTAAATAATAAAATGATGTTTGATTTATTGTGATTTTTATTTTTTACAAAAAAAAAAATTAATTAATATTTATATTTTATATGAATATACCTCTTCTTCGACGAAAATGAGATAAAATATTTTATTTCTATTAAATATAAGTTAATTTTTATTTCACATAAATATCAAATAATTAAACTTCCATCCTTTTCAAATTCAAATTATTTTTTGTAAATTTGACTTTTAATCTAGTTATAAGTTCAGATGCAATCTCTTCCATCTTCACATCAAAAAAATATAACTTACCATCAATTTTGCCATAAGTTATAACTTTTATACTCTCCTATTGGTTACAAAATTATGTTTTCATGCATAATAACTAATAATGTAATGCTTGATGAAACTTATATTATTGTAATTTATTTTTTTCTCTAAATATAAAATTTTATTATTAAATTACTTTAATAGAAAAATAATTTGAGTGTATAGAATGAAGTCTTTTTAGCTAAATTTTTTATTATCAGGATCTAATCGATTATATATATAGTTATAGTTATAGTGACTATACATATTTAGGAGATATCATCTATAATAATATATAAAGAAAATGATTTTTATATTTGATATTCCTATCTTTTAATTATATTTTAAAATTAAAAATGAAAATAAGTCATCTATAACTATACACATATTACCCATCACTCCCTTATTTTAACAATACAATATTACAAATCACATATTATTAATTCTATTTTCTTTAGGAAATAAAGAGATAGGAAGTATACCTTATATATTAATGTGAAATGATTCGAGCTTGTACATATTTTTTATTATTATTTAGAATTACGAGAATTTTACAGAAACTTGTAGAATTAGAACACGGGATCTACCACTCACTTGTAAGACTCAAGAAGGGTGAAAAGATACTCAAGTGATCACAACTAAAATACTCATCTAATTTAATTGGTCATTGGATTCTAGTAAATCAATTTAGAAAATGTGACTAAGCAATAATTGATGAGGTAATAATCATAAACCAAGCTCATCATTTGAGAGTGCTTGGAGCGGGACATGATTGTTGGAAACAACTATGAAGCAATGACACTTGGTTGTTTCTTATTAAAGTTATAAAGTTCAAGAATATCACATCAAGGTTACAAGTAATGTTTGAAGATTATAATTTATACCAAATATCACAGGTTCAAGACTCACATGTCCACGGTTGAAATTAAAAATAATAAAACAATACTATTTATTAAATAACATTGTATTTTTCTACCATCATAACTTAATGATACTAAAAAGCTAAAAGTAAATATTTTATCAGTTTCCAACATTCAAAATACATAAAAATAATATATATCATAATATTTAGATTTAAGATTCAACAGTAACGTTAACAAATTCTTGGGAGGAAAACAAAAAATACTGCACGTCTATTTTATGTTTTTAAAGAGAAATAAAATAAAAGAAGCGCTTTAAACTATTTTTTCTTCTTTACTATTTTTTTCACCTATTTTTTAAACAATTGAATTAGAAAGTAATTGTGAGAAAGTAGAAAATGGTATAAAAAATAGTGGTGATTTTTAGAAGAGAATGCTATAATATTTTAATAATAAAATATTTATACTATATTTTCTGTTATTTATTAGGTAAATTTCATTATTTTTTTACATTTTCTAAACTTTTTTTATACTCTTTCTCTATATTTCTAATCTCAATCTCTGTCCCTTTGAAAATCATAAACTGTAGAATTGTTTGTGATGAGGAGTTGTAAGCATTCATATTATCAAGGAGTCTAAAAAAATAATTTCTTTTTTGTTCTCTTTTGAGATATGTTAATTCTTTGGATTGTTTGTAAGCAGTTAAACATATGATTCAAAGATGCTCTTAGTGAATTTCTTTTGTTTTATGATCTCGATGATATATTTAGATTTTTAATTTGAGATCTTTATTGTCAAGTTAGATTATTTTGTATTAGATAAAGCTCTATGAAACATCTTTGAGGGAAATGGTTGTTTTTTCTTTTGTTTTATGATCTCGATGATATATTTAGATTTTTAATTTGAGATCTTTATTGCCAAGTTAGATTATTTTGTATTAGATAAAGCTCTATGAAACATCTTTGAGGGAAATGGTTGTTTAATCAAGATAAGAGAAACTAATCTTAATTTTTGTACATTTGAATTTCATTGTTTGATTTGGTTGTTTGGTTCTTTGTATGCTGATGATTGAATTATTATATTATTTTGAAGTTATCTTGGCTAAATTAAGTGAGAAAATGTATGATTGTGTGAAGTTGTGTTTATTGATGAAATGATATTTGATGTTGTGAATTTGGGATTTATCCAAAGCAGGGTATCCTTAGTTTAAATGGCTCATTTCTATCAATTTGTATTCTTTATGACTTGTTCATAGAAGGAAAACTTCCATTTGAGCTAAAGATATCATTGATTATGTATATTTGTGTGTCTGTGGTAATGTTGTCATTGATCCGATCAAATTAATACTATTAAACTATAATAACTCAAGTATTACTTAAGATAATAGCCAATAAAATAGAAAAGGGTAAAGTCAACTCTAAGTAGTCTCTCAACAAACATAAAATTGATTTCTAACAAATTAGTTCTTATAAAAAATATAGAAAAGGGTTAGTCAAACAAAATAAAAATAAATAAAAGATCAAATAAAATAATAATAATGTAATAAAGAAATAGGATTGAAAAGATAAAAAAAAATAATAAGAAGAAAATATATTGATTCCACTACTTTTTCAATATATGATTCATCATTGGTTATCTAAATATTATTGTTCAATTAATTATTATTTTAGATTTTCAAATTAATAAGTGTAAATTCTCAATTATTTAGTTGATATTTTCACTATTAACCAAAGTACATTATTAATTAAAAGTAAAGAACTTTCTATATTAATCATAATAAATTTAACCAAATTACATTCTCAATAAAATAAAATTATGCAAACTCTACAATTTGCTTGCTTCTTTAAAAAAAAAGGTTAAACCCCTTTAGTTATCCCTATTTTTGTGGGTTTTTTTCCCAGTTGATTCCCGTTTTATTAGAATTCTCAATTTAGTTCTAAAAAATGCTAATTTGAGTCAATTGGGCCCTGCCGTTAAATTGACTTAACGGGATTAAGTTTTTTATGACCTGACACCTTGACGTGGTAAGTTTTTAGTACATGGCATTCGCAGAGATTTATACGTGGAATTTCATAACATTAAACATTTTAAAATTAGACTTTATTGGTGAAATTTTATGGGTTTTGTTGTGTGCAAGTTTCATGGCGGCGCATGGAGGTGGTTCTTGAGGAAGATGATTCGAACAACGGTGAATTGTTATGGCTGTTGACAACGGCGATTTGCGACGAAGAAGTCGCTATTAGA